CATGTTCTCACGGTTCAATTAGGATGCGCTTCTTCAGGACGAAATTCATACCTACTCATCGCTGTCAAGCATGTTACATACAGCTAAACATGAAGTGTTTACTTAAAAACTTGCACCTGTGTCCTTTTTTACACCCCTGAGGTCATCTCAAGTCACGAAAGGTCACCAACAGTTTTTTCGACAACAGCTTTTGATACAGACATGCCTTGCCTTACAGGGGCGTAGGCAGGGGGGGGCCACTGGGCCATGGCCCCCCCCCCCTTGGGCGCCGAAGGCGCCCTTTGCGATTGGAGGGCGCCGAAGGCGCCCTCCAATCGCAAATGCAATTGTGATATAATCGAATCGAAAAACAATCGCGACTGGAGGGCGCCCTCCAATCGCGAATGTGTTTACAGGGAAAATACGGATGGAGGGCGCCCTCGGAGGACGCCCATTCCAAATACGCCCTCCAAATACGGTTGGAGGGCTCCCTCGGGCGCCCTCCAACCACATTTGTAGGCTGTAGCTCTCTAAGCGTAACGGTGGTCGCCTATGTAAGCCGCTGTCCTGTAAATAAGCGCCCTCTCACCCGAAGGCGCCCTCCTGTAGGTCGCCACCCTGCTACACATTGCCGCCCTTCTGCTGATCGGCGTCCTCATAATTATTGGCGCTCTCCTACCTATTGAGCCCTCATGTGAAATTTTGAAGGCCGCCTTTCTCCCTTTTGGCACCCTCTTGTTCAGTGCCGCCCTCCTACCTATTGGTTCCCTAGTCCTTCCTGTTGAATGTTAATCGGGGCCCTTCTCCTATTGGCGCCCTCGTGTAGATCGCCGCCCTCCTAACCACTGGCACCCTCCTGTTGATCACCGCCCTCCTATCCACTGGCACCTTCCTGTTGACCAGCGCCCTCCGCACAGACGCCCTCCTGTTCGTGTCATCCTCTTGAGCAAAGGCGCCCTCCTCACCATTGCCACGCCACCCCCATTTAAATCGTCACCCTTCCGCTCATTGGCGACTTCCAGTTGATGACCGCCCTCCCACCTATTGGCGACCTCTTGTTGATCGCCACCCTCCTATTGGTGCTCTCCTGTTCCTCGCCACCCTCTTACCTGGTGGCGCCCTCCTGTTGATTGTTGATCGGCGCCCTCCTACCTATTGGTGCCCTCCTGTTGATCGCTGCCCTTCTATCAATTGGCGCCCTCCTGCTGCTCGCCAACTTCCTACCTATCGGTGCCCTACTGTCGAAACTCGGGATGTTGATCGGGGCTCTTCTACCTATTAGTGCCCTCCTGTGGATCGCAGCCCTTCTACCTATTGGCAACATCCGTTGATCGCTGCCCTCCTATCATTTATTTACTCCTTTGACATGTTTTTCAACTTAGTCGTTCTATTGCACATAGTTGATGTTTTGCCTGTGAAAACTGCCACAAATGAACGTGCATTCAGCACAATGAATGAAGTATCTATACCTACCAAAACTATCTACGCTCTACGATGCATAAAACACGTCTTTGGTCTTAACGGATTGATCCTACTTTACGTGCATCATGGCATCTATATGGATTACGATTAAGTATTGTCAACAGGTTCGGGCGCAACAGCAGGCATCTGAAGTTTCGGTGATTGAAACTGGTTATGTGGGTACACTGTATGCATCTGTGAGAAGGCTATGAAGGCTGGTCTGAGGTAATTTGGATGATGTTTACGCATCTCGCGCTCCGGTATCAATCCGATACGGTGATCTGGTGCGTAGATATGCCACCGCCAATAAACTTTTATACATCGACACCCATGACTCATGAGCCAAGCTTTCTGTACAGTTTGTGTGGCAGCGGCCCGACCAAACCTTAGGTATTTTTTACACCTTCAAATTTGGTAAAAGAGCGAGAGGAGCTTTGAACAGTGATCGTATAAAAGGCGTGCCTAAAAAGCGGAGGAAAAGGTTGTTTTCAAAAATTTCGCGCGCCTTCGGCGCAGCATTTCAAGAACACTTGACCTTTTGTGACCTGGAGTATAAAGAATACACACGATGCAAAATCAATGCAGCACGACCTATACGAGGTTACGCAAAAAAAACTGGTGGCATGGTAAAAAACGCCTCCCAACCCCCCAACCCCCACTGAGCGATTTTTTATCTCGCGACCGTATGGCGCCCTCCTTGGGTGAGGTGGCGCCCTCCAAACCCTTGGCCCCCCCTTCGCGATTTTCTAAATACGCCGCTGTTGCCTTATACGAAAATGCCTTAGATGTGTTTAGCTTGCCTTAGACGAAAATGGTTTCCTGATGCGCTGGACTCTGGAGCTTTATTCGCTCCCGTGTTATGCATGAATTTGTGGAAAATTGGCGAAGGAATCGTAATTTGACTTTTGGTGATCCCTGGTGAACAGACCTTTGACCTGACCTAAAACTGACCTGAGTACTTTCATCATGATTTTTGACACTACTTCGAGCGTCGTCTATCACGTGTCGCTACGTGGCCCAGGAGCCGAGTTAAAAGGGAAGGGTGTTCAAACACCCCCAGCAGGGCATGCAAGTCCAGGAGGCCCAGCAGGGCGAGGGTTGAACAGATTGTTAGTATATTTATATTGGTCTTGATTGATCTTGATTGATTGATATTGGTCTTTGAAAAGTACAGGCCCATCGCCGATTTCGTAATACCGATCGATTTTTTTAGCTTAGTGCCGCTCCTCAGAAAGGTGCCACCTCCACATGCCTCCACTGGCAGGTCCAAAAGGTGAGGGGCATTTGGGGCAATTGCCCCACGTAGTGCCCGAAATCGAAGAAAGTTTACGTTTCTTCGAGGATGAAACGAAAATAAACAACTTTTAATAGGAAAATTTTGTTTTAACCCGCGACCGCCTGGGGAGGGTCGGATCTGACCCCCCCTCCGTTTTTCTTGAATAACTCATGAATCACTTTCGCTATCTACTTGAAACTTTGCATACCTTCTCCCCCATCAATTTGACGTCTCCTGTGCAATTTTTAAGAAAAATTTCCAATTTTTTTTTTAGATATATCGATTTTAGTGATGTAACTACATGGCGTTTTTAGTCAAAAAGTGGTAAATGTTTAAAAAAATCGCCCAAAATCAGGGTTTCAAGCAAATTGCAAATTAAGGACATGAAAAGACGCAGCTCAACGAGTTCTTTAAAATGGCTATCTCGAATTTTCCATTAAATGCGTTTTTCACCCCTAAAAATTCAAAAAACTATATTTTTTGGAAAACAGCTAATAAAATCCAAAATTTTGAGAATTTCCAAAAAACCGGAATATATGTTGTAGAGATCCATTAGAACATTAGATGCCCCAAATTTCAACTTTCTATCTTGATTTTTGACCCCCAAATTGTAAAAAATAGCTCCAACATGCATAGGGCATGGTGACGTCATAAATATTTTCGTGAATTAGAGGCACTTCTGAACATCGCATGCGAAAACAAATAGCACCACTAGATTACTGGGACAAAGCTCGTCTAGAAAAGTGCATTTTTATGTCAAAAATGAAAAGTTGAAAAATTGACTTTTTTCTTAGCCCTCGTTTAGTTATGTATGGTATAAACGATTTTTATGCTTTCAATGCACACTTATCACCAGCACAGTGACTTGGGGTCACATATAACCATTACCATCGGATTCGGCGCGAAAAATAAGCCATAAAACATGTGTCGCACGCCCATGTAGCAGAAAGTGAAAACCGTGACCTTTCGTGACCTGACCTGACCTTGACCCGTACTTAGTATGACCCCTATACGCACATGGTACCTTCACTAGGCCTTTGAGGTCATGTTTGGTGAGTTTCGAGCAGCAGCTATCGATTCCGCTGTCCGTAAGCCTAATCATGCAAAACCCCTGAATTTTACCTTTGACCAGACCTTGACCCGAAAGTTGACCTCAATCTTAAAATCTTAAGAGTGCTTTAGGAAGGTCTCGTAGAGACCTTTCGAACGCCGGCTCGCGGGGCTCGATACGACCATTGGTTCTCGAGATAACAGGGGGGATCGAATCCGACACCCCCCCCCCCCCCCCGGCTGTCGTGGGTACGGAAATAGCCCAGGCGGTGCCGGGTTAAATTACACAGTAGTGCATAAGCATTAGGCAATAAAAACCCGATGACTTTTTTAGTTTGGATAAACTTTTTGGGGGGTAGGTGTACCCAGCGTCCAAGACTGGTGGATTCGCCTTCCTGGATCCACCAGTAGCCACCTCTCTTCAATGAATGCCGCTTCTCAAAAAGTTTTTTTTTTTTAGTTCGACGCGTCTGGTCCGCGACGAGAGTACTACACATCGGAGCTTCGAGCGGACGACTGTGGGAACCGAACCCATGCTTCACGCATTATGCATTATAGGCAGTTGGTAGAGCGTTGGACTCGGCCGGTAGTGAGAGCCCGGGTTTGAGTCGCTCCGGCGCTAGATATTTGGGCTCCTGAAGGGGATGGTCTGCGGTTGGAGCAGCCGCATCCAGTTGAAGTCAGTTGAGTGGGACAACTGTGTCCGGCTTTGAAGGGTGCACGTTAATCTTTGGCATCTAAATTCTCCCGTTACCTGGAATTACGCGATCGGACGGCATGGATCGGGGTCCACGCAACAAGGTCTGCTAAGCTTGGGCTCCTGCTCTTTCAATCCATCCATCCAAACGTTCGTTCTTAATTTGTAAATAATAAAGATATCGCAAAATATGCCGTTCATGAGGCGCTACTGCGTTACTGCGACATCATCAATATTGCAATTGTTCTTGTTTCCTCCGTTCACTGCTGTTATGGCCATTGAAATAACTTACGCGAGCCATTGAAATGAATCCCCTGTGGCCAATTGAACAGCCCACCATGGCTCGTTGCCCTGTGTGCACGCATTCCGTCCAATGCAGGTCCGGCCCTGGTGACCCATTCATCACTGGAGGTCGTACGACGGTGCTCCGTCGGGTCCGACGGGCCGCCGCGCCGACGATCGTCGGGTTCGACGCGTCGCTGGCAGCACGTGCTCGGCCGTCGCCGCCGTCGACGTCGTCGGCATTCGGCGGCGGCGCGGCGCCGGCGGCGGAGGTGTCTCGGTGACCGCGCGGACCCGTCCGGCCTGCCGTGGGTCAGGTAGGTGACCGCGAGGACCCCGCCCGGACCCCGCCCGGACCCCGCCCGGACACCGTCCCCGCGGGTCAGTGAAGTGGGGCGCGGGGTGCGGCAGTACCTGGTGTGCATGGTGAGAGGGTATCTGTCAGATGATGATCTAGCTTTTCTTCATACGTCACTGAACGATGTTTTAGCTATATTAGCTTAACAGTTATGAGTTGCTTTGTCCTAGAATGTTAAAATCTTCCAAATTTGACCTTTAAAGTACTCAAGGTGACTGCTGGCCTTTGACTTAACTCCAAAAATGACCAATCATTGTTCATGATTTTGACACCCTTCCGAACGTCACTTTTTACGTGTCATCAGTTAGAGGGTGGCGCAAAAACGCCTTCACAGTTCGCTTCGATGTTTCATGATCGCCCCACCTGACGCGCCCTGGACGTCCCTTAGTCGTCCATCCATGCATGAGATCAGAGATGCGTAAGGGTGTTTCTCATGTATGGCTTATCGCAGCAATTGTATTCGGAAACAAACAAGGACTATATTGTAGTATGTATTAAAACTACACCTTTGTCCTTCGTCAAAATAATTGAATGCTAGACTGTGAATGACATGCTGCAAAAGCTAACATTGTTTGCGTTTTGCTTCCAAATTTGAGCACAAATTTCGATCAAGCTGTTAACACGCGCAGTGGAAGGGTTGCGAGTACTACGCCCAGTGGAAGGGGGGGGGGCGGATGTCGCCCCCCCCCCCCTAAGATCTCAGCTCCCACTGGAGCTAGCAAGACGAAATTTGGAGGGTAGGTGGGGGCCACAGGGAACTCTGTTGTGTGTGAATTTCATGGCCCTAGGTCAATATCTTCAAGGTCAAATGAGGTCAAATGTGGTCAAATCTGCCATATTAGCGACTTTTTTGCGTTTACACGCCGATAACTCAAAAAGTTATCGGCCGATTTTTTTTTTAAACTTTCACTATACGAAAGAGCAAACATTTGTGAATATGTATGGTGAATTTCTAGATAATCCAACAATAAATATGGCAGTTAGAAGCCTGCTAAGGGTAAGATGTCGCCGGCTGAAGCGGCATCGGCCGATGCGGGAAACGCGGCAATCATAATTTTGTGTTTACACACTCATAACTCAAGTTGTTACCGGCCGATTTTCTAAATTCTTTGACCTTATGATGGCGTGTACATTTCTCAGTCTTCTCACCGAATTTGACGCGAATCTAATATAATCAACGGTAAGGAGCGCGATGGAAAGACGGAACCGTCCCGCCCCGGCACAGTCTACAATTCAGGCGGCGCGCAACGGCTAGCGCCGGCCGCCGCGCCGCCGCGCCGCCGCGGCGGCAGGATGTTTGACTTTACACCGCTATTACTAGAAAAGTTGTTAACTGATTTTCTTACTTCTTGCACGAGAAGATCCGCAATTCAATTCTGGACAGGTAGCCGAAATTTCACATTGATATTATGCTTGCGGCGCGAGTTATTGGCGAAAAACAAGAGGGGTGGGCGAAATCCGCCCCCCCCTTCCACTGCGCGTGTTAATTGGCCCTTTGTTGTCTGTGTCAACGGATGTTTCCTGAAAATGGGTCCGTGATAGTTGTGAATGAAAATCATTCAGCTTTTATTAAATTTGCATATGCAAATTGCATTACAAAACTCTTGAATATTTTGTTCGTTAATTTGCTTATGCATGGCTGTGAGCATTGTGAAAACATGACTGTGGAATGCGAAAGATAATTTTGAGCGTGAAAGAGAGGGAGAGAGAGAGAGAGAGGGGGGAGAGAGGGAGAGAGAGAACTTTGGGAAATAAATTACTTTTGACACTGTATTGTTGAACATGTTTTTCTGCTTGAGGCAATTTTTTATCAAATAAAAAAGTGTATGCTGTCATGCAGTTATCAGAATGTGCAATGTCAGTAAGGGCTACCTCAATTAAAGTCAGCGAAAGGTATTTCAATTCGGTTGTCGCAAGAGGAGCATACAGTATACCATATCTTTATAATAGAACTGGCAAGGTTCCCCGTTGCACGGGCACGAGATGGACAGAAAGCTCTAAGAGCTCAAGCCTCTGAAATCTTCTTACCTTCTCCGTAATCTTCCGTCATAACAACTTTCCTTGGGAACCGTAATTTTATTGCTTCCGCTGCTTCAAATGGTCTACGAATTGAAGTGGAGCTTTGGCATTTCCGTTTCCATTTCTAGCGCAAATGCTCGCAAGAAATGGGGTAACTGTGTCCCGTACAAATTCCATATTTTAGTTTGAAAATGTTGCTTTTTATCAATATATTTTTCAACCGTTTTGTTTGTAGGATGCGTGCAGTTTTCAATTTGCTTCTCATCAAATAACCCTATTTAGAGCCTTGCAATATTTCCCCATAACGTCAATACGTTAAACGCTAGGCAGTCCACGCGTAAAAAGTAATCAACTGCATACGCTGACCTCGAGAACTACGAAAAAGATAAGAAGGCTAAACATTACCATCACCTGGAACACCCATCCTAAATACATGTATTGTACTACATGTAGCTAGACGCGGCAGCGCACTGCGCTTGCTGTATGTATGTACGTACCTCTTCGCTGTGACCACGCCAAGCTCTTCGCTCCCGCAGAGAAAAGGAAATGGCCCATCTGGACAAAGCCGTGTCTCTATTTCGTGGATCGATGAAAGTTCTATTTACACCCTAGATAGTGAAATGTATGCCAAAGTGCAGTCTGAATTGTTGTTTTGGAATGGCTAGAGCACGGCGGCCGGACAGGCAGGACTTGTGAAACACCATGTGCCCACCTTCCGAACACTTTTGTATAGGTGGTCATGCTCGACCTAACACAGAGAACTTACTGTTGAAATACCCAACCAGGTTCGTTTGTTCGACTTTTTTTCTTTTTGCCCTTTTCTTCGGGATAATACTCTGTTTCCAGCTAACCGTTTGATGTTTCGCTTAGTAAATACAATATGTACATCTGTCAAGTTACTTGCCTAAATTGCACAATACGCATCTGGACGTGCCTACATACTGACTTGCAATTAGTGTTTTAAATTTGAAAAATTAGCAGATTATTTTTTCTCACGTTTTTTTTTGTAGAGAAGTTGTACCAGTAAAAATTAAATATAGTTATTTGCATCGTACCATATCCAAGCTGAAAATCGACGAAACGCAGTGGAAATCAAAAGTTGGTAACTGCATATTGCTGTGATTTTTCAACTGCGATTCGTCGTGATCCCATTGGGTCTGATCTACCACACCCTCCAACGGTACATCGGCCTCATGAAGTCTGGTCAAACACTGCACAGTGCACCGTTGCACCCCCGTCCATGGTCAAACCCTCTCTCCACTGCACTGCACCGTCACAACCCGTCCATGAGGTCCGGTCAAACCAAGGCCCTAAAATATAAGGTTGGACGAAGTTTTCTACCAAAAATGTGCTAGAATAGCGCACGAGTCAAAGCTATTTCCGCTGTTTCTTTACAAATATGTCGCAAACAAGCTTTTTCTGTAATAAATCATTATTTTGAAGCTAAGCGATCAGTTGCTATAAATTCAATAAGCAAATACTTATTTTTTATATAAAAGCCTAGCTCATGTAGTCCAACTCTAGTTGAATAATCAAGTAGCTACTAAATTTTCCAGATGTGACACATATTGCGCACTTCAGACAAATGCGTTGCTAGGGCGTTGCTAAGGACTCTTTCGCATGTTTTGCTGCCTGGTTTTGTTATGAAGTGAGGGAAGTGAGATGGACAGGCTTTTTGAATTTGTTTTCTGGTGTTCTAGGACCGTCTCAATTATTTAACTTGACATACTTTTCTGGCTTTTTTATCCGAGGCTTTTTCAATGATTGGTAGATTCTAGCGTGGAAATAAAAGGGCGAGCAGGCCACTGGGTAAATGCAACTTGCAAGTCGACTGATTGTGATAGTGAAATAAAAGGTAAAAGTGTCTGTTCCATTAGATTAGAAATATAATGTGATGTGATGGAACAGGAAGCAACAGGATCAGACGCAAGAACCACCAATTAAGAACCCAGAACCAGCAAGCGCCATGCAATCAAGAGCAGCCATGGTAACGTTTGATTAGCTTTCAGAAAACCTTGGAAGACGCCAGAGGGTGAGCAATCAAGAGATCTTACAAGACCAGTAGTTACTTGAAAATGAGAGTCGCCAGGAAAATCAGTAGATTCTTCAATGGCAACACATTTCAACATCTATCTAGCAATGAGATTTGCACCAGCGAGGTGCTTTCATTGTGTTTTGTGTCTGTATCCCTATAAACTGCTAAAAAATATTTGTCAATAAATAAACAAACAAACAATAATGCGTCTTTTTCTGCTGCATGGTACTGCGGATCGTCAATAGGTTTCTTGATGACTCCGACTCTGACTCAGACTTTCAAAAATCAACTGACTTTGATTTCAAATGTCGGCTCTGACCGACTCCGACTCTACACTTCACAGCCCTAGCAGGTCTGCGGAGGCAATGGATTTTTGGTGACTCCGACTCCGACTCTGGCTTTCAAAATCGACTCTGACTCTGACTCTGGTCAGAACTGTCGACTCCGATCGACTACAACTCCGACTACGGAACCCTGAAAGGTCTGCGGAGGGGATCGAATTTCGGTGACTGACTCAGACTCCAGCTTTTAAAATCGACTCTGACTCTGACTCGACGACTCAGGTCAGAACTGCCGACTCCGACCGACTACAACTCCGACTACGGAACCCTGAAAGGTCTGCGGAGGAGATCGAATTTCGGTGACTGACTCAGATTCCAGCTTTTAAAATCGACTCTGACTCTGACTCGACGACTCAGGTCAGAACTGTCAATTCCGACCGACTCCATGACTCCGACTCCGGAGCCCTTCTGGCAGCTATCACGCCAGGAAGCTGCAAATCGTATGTTCCGTGGCGGTTTATGGCATTAAAGTCGATAATGCGGCTGAATCGCACTATGAAACACCCTTATTGGCTGCAAGAACCACGAAAGTTAGCGCATCACCACTGGAAAACGTGACAAGCT